AACTGTTTTCAATGGATTTTATGTTTTTTATTGGGTACATCATTTATCAGATACATGTGAATCTTATTTGTTTAGCTATAAATTTATTCATGTTCTGGATAACTAAAGTTCCCCAGTTAGATTAAAATCTCATGAATGTTTTTAAAAGTCTAGACTGCGTAAGTGGTTTTAATTTTTTCAGGTAAAAGGTTATATGCTATATGTCAGGTTATTGTTAAATGTTTAATTATCTTAATAATTGACATCATGAGTTAACTGAAATTAAACCACCATGGAAAACGGCCGTCTAATGCCATGATGGTTTAGCATCAATTGACTTATGATCTCAACTATTAAAATTACTATAATATCCATAAAAACCCTTTTTGAATCTCCTTATCTATTATTACGCCTCTTTATCTAATATATTCTATTACCTTAAACTCAACATAACTTTTAAATTTAATTAACTTCACTTAGTGAACTATTTTACAATTAAGCAAAGATGGATAGTGGCTTGCAGTGGAATCCAGGACGCGCGTTTCGTCCTATTTCGAACTCGTCAGCCGAATTTACCTGACATTCACCCTGTGACTCGAACCCAGTACCTTGCGTTTTAAACGTCATCGCTTTATCAACTCAGCTACTGAGTCCTGATAGCCACCCGATTGTGTAATGGGGTGAAGTTTAAATTCACTTGGTATTGTTTGTTTGAATCTTCCCATTGATGTTTAGGACTGCAACTGGTCAGTCTCTTATTGGGCATATGTGCATACTGTGCGTATCGCCTCGATGTAGCCTTAATTCACAAGCACAGATGGATAGTGACCAGCAGTGGAATCCAGGGTGCGCGTTTTATCTTATTTGGGACTGACCATTTGCAATATTAAACATCAATGGGAAGATTCAAACAAACAATAGAAAGTGTATTTTAAAATTAGAAAATCTTTCAATATTCTTTACAGATCTTTTTTCTTTCTGTTCACATGTACCATCTTTCACCTTTTTTTTCCCAAAAAAATAAAAGTGGAAAAATGACTTTTACATTGATTAGATCCTATCAATTCTTTGTTTTAATATTTGAGAGAAAAGAAATTATTCTGATAAATAAAATAATTAATTTATTTAACTGATAATTTAAAAAATTAAATTCCCAATGTTTTATGGTTTTGCAGAAAAAAATAGAGGAAACTCGATACTGATGAGAATATCATTTGTGAAATAGTTGAATAAGTGATTTTATAGATGGATGATATCTTTAGAGCTTTTTTTTGAATGTTGTATCTACTTAAGTTTTACAATTTTTGTTTTGTTTTGATAATCTATTGAAAATTGACTTTTTTGAAAAAAATTCAAATTTACTTTTAATCTAGTGAAATCCACTTGGAGATAACTCGTTATCAGAAGACAAAACTAAAACATGAGTTATTTAACAATTTAAGATCATGAGTCCACTGAAGCTAAACCACCATGGAAAACAACCGTCCAGTGCTTCCAGGTTTTCCATGGTGGCTTAGATTCAATTGACTTATGATGTCAACTATTAAAATTACTATAATATCCACAAAAGCATTTTCTGAATTTTCTTATCTATTATTAGGTCTCTTTATCTAATATATTCTATTACCTTAAACTCAACATAACATTTAAATTTAATTAACTTTACTTAGTAAACTATTTTAAAATTAAGCAATGATGAAAATTGTTTTTTTTTTCCAAAAAAATAAATTCAAATCTACTTTTAACCTAGTGATATCCACTTGAAGATAAATCGTTATCAGAAGACAAAAGAAAAAAAAAACATGCGTTATTTAAAAATTCGAAGGTTCAATGTTCAATTTTTTCATTTATTTTTCATTTTCAATTTATTACATTACTTATTTTATTTTTTTTGTCATTATAAATCGACAACAAATAACTGTCTTAATATTGAACTTCTTTATTCAGTTGGAATGGAATTTCTTTTCTATTGCATGATTAATTAATCAAAATTAATTTGGATAATGATAAAATTTCACTATATAAATATATCCTAAAAGACTCTTTAAATTGTTAGTATATAATCACGATTTCCTATACATATATATATATATATATATATATATATATATATATATATATATAGATAGATAGATAGATAGATAGATAGGTAGGCAGATAGATAGATAGATAGATAGATAGGTAGGCAGATAGATAGATAGATAGTTAGATGTTGCCTATTTGTTTCCTTACTTAACATATTTTTTCATCTGGAAAACATTTTGATTAATGTTTCTTTTCTTTTCTCATTTTTTTGTATTAGAATCGATAAATCGTTTTTGTAACTAATTTAATTTTTATCAGAACTAATTTATATTTTGGTTTATCAAAAAAAAGAAACGTTTTAATGACGTTGCTTAAATTAATTTAATAAATAGTTTATAATACTACTTAAATACTATTTTTTGTATATAAAACTTTTATGACAAATCACGTTGAAAACTGTCTATTGATTTATAAGTAATAATGTATTCTAAATTATATTTTATTATGAACAAAAACATTTTCCTTGACAACCTACATACTTCCATAGGTATACATAATTGTAGTATATATAAGTGGTTAGCTTTTGATTTGAAGACCTGTTTTACAGGTAAGTTTATTAACCTCACTCGTAATCATCCTCCTTTGCTCGGGCTTCATACTGGTAATAACCGTAGAAGAAGTTCAGGCAAGGTTAATACATAATTGTATATATTAAAATATACTTATGTTTTATTTAAGAAAAGACAACAATATACGTTATGCTATAAATTAGTGGCATTAATTTAATATACGTTTTTTTTTCAAACTGACCATTTTGAATTTCATTATTGACTTAATTTAAAGGAGCCTAAGACAAACCTATTAAATCAGTAGATAGGTTACTTTTCTAGTAATTTTATCCTTAGTTCACAATACCTTGAATGGTATTTGATGATATTTGAATCATATTTAAGAAATAATTAATCTTTAAAATAAAGTCCTCTATATTCCGAATCATTTTACCAGTGATTTTATATTCTGTAAAATAAAATCCATTTGTTTTAGCGGTGATTCAGAAGGGGGTTTATTAGTGCAATGATCAGTATTCTTAAACCATAACATAACAATTTTTAAATGATACTTCGTTTTTATTGATTTATTTTATTGATTGATACAAGTTGATCATGAAAAGGTGCCACACATTATATATGAACTTAAAAATATGTTAAATAATGCAAAATGAATACCATTTGTGTTAGATTTCCCTTGAGACTTGAATTATTAATTAAAATTATTTTCTAAATTGCATTAATCACATTTTAGTTATTTATTTACTCTGAAGAAGTGAGTTACATTAGGTCACGAAACATCAAAAATACAATTTTCTACACAAAAGTATATAAATTAATAAGTGGAAGATATTTGTTACAATAAAGGATGATCACTTTGATAAGATTAACATAAAAGTATTTTAATGTACAAAGCTTGTGTTTGACTACTCGCAGAATACTGCGTGTTTATTCTTAGTAATGCATGCATAAAGGATAAATTAAGGCTGGAATCAGTACAGAGACGATTCACACTTCGTATTCTTGGAACTGATTGTACCTTGACTTATAATTCTAGATGTAATAAACTTGGGCTCGACCCTTTATGGAAGAGGTGACTCAAATTAATTCTTATCTTTTTCTTTAAGATACTTAATAAACAATCCTTTACATCTAACCAAGCAATCCAGTATGCGGAAACTTCTCATTACGACACTCGTAACTACTTGTCACTAGAGAAACAAACACATTCTAAATCATCTCTCTATATTAATTACTTTACCAGTAAGTTTTCTAGACTCTGGAATAATCTACCACAATCTCTCCGTACTATCAAATCTCTCCCATTGTTTGTTCGCTGCATTGATGCATACTGCTCCTTTAAAAAGGCATTAAATGTTCTAGCACCTGTAAGTGTATCTTACTTACGGGGACTTTAAATGTTTAACCACTTACCTGCTGACACTTTACGTTAACACTGTCCCTAGAAACCTTAACTTATTTGAATAACATCTAACATAAACAGTAGTTAACCTGACCGACATATTTTGATGATCATTGTCTTGTTGTTTCGTGCACTCTATTTTAGTTTTACTCTCTCTAGTTGTAGATAATTATTAATAATTCATCCTGGAACAGGAAGTAACCTTAAATAACACCGTTCATATATTAACAGGCTATCCACTTAAGAAAAAACTAAAAGTTCCCTGCTGATTAATTGGATTGCTGTAATACATGTCATAAATGTACTACCTAAACAATTACTGAACTAGTAAATTTAAAACAATCTTATATCACATGTTTATTCTCTACATCGAATGTTACTATTTATATGAAGTTGATCATACCTGTAGACTGGCATGAATATTGTAATTATTATTTTAAGAATATATATATATTATTATTATCAACTATGTGAATCATATCTTTCAAGCATACTCGGTTTATATACCAGACAGACAGATCGCATAACACCATAAAATAGGAAATAACATTTGCACAATGTCAAACCCTGTCAACGCAGGAGACAGTAATCAATAAACTGGGTATATATAATTTATATATATATATATATAATTTAGTAACAGCAAATTGTATAATAATAATTTATAGATCAAAATGAAGCTTATAATAAGATTAGTATAGATGTACATAATCTAATTATTAAATACTTATACAATAAGAATATCTATAGAATAATGGTCCACCAATAGTTTCCAGAAATTACCCGTACTTTAATCTTCACTAGGATATAACAATTCCCAACTAAAGTACTAGTGCATATTATTGAGAATTCTTATATCAGGATGAAACGACTGCTCAATACTTCCTGGCTTTATAATATTTGTCTGACTAAGATTAGTTTGTCATGTACAGTATAAACTTAAGCATTATAATAAGACAAAAAGTCCGCTTATTTTTCTTCTACAAGGTTAACCGACTTTTATTATTTCTATTTTTCTATTATAGGTTATGGACATATTGTGCCTAAAACAGATCTTGGACGAGCAATCACTGTAATTTATGCATTATTTGGTATACCATTAGTACTTTTATGTTTAGCTAATCTTGGTGGTTTTTTAGCTAATACTGTTCGAATTATTTATTCAAATTCATGTTTTAAATATCATGAACATCGTGTTAAAAAGAAATTATCTAAACAACATAATCAATCCATATTACCAGTAATAAGAGATGAGAAACTATCCAATTCATCCAAAAGAAAATTACTACCTAATCGTAAAACTAAACCATCTAAATTACATAATACTATACATGAAATTAATGAAACTTCAATAGTTAATAATTATAATGATTCAAATAAATATACATCAAAAGAATCTATTAATCAATTACATATGAATGATTATCATACAGCAAGATTTGAAAAACGTGCTCAATCTATTCTACATACATTAACTAGTTCACAATCAATTATATCATCAGGTATACAAAAAGAAATAAGAAAAAATAAAGGAGTACATGTACCAATATGGTTAACATTATTAGTATTTTTTATTTATATGATAGTTGGTGCAATTATATTTGCTAAATGGGAAAATTGGAATTTATTACAATCAGGTTATTTTGTATTTATTACATTGTCAACAATTGGTTTTGGTGATTTTGTACCCGGTATACAAACAGATAAATGGCAAGAAAATTCTACAAAACCAGTATTTTGTTGTTTTTATTTATTATTTGGTTTATCTATGGTTGCTATGTCATTTAATTTAATGCAAGAAGAAGTAAAAACTAAATTTAGACGATTTGCTTATAAAGTTGGTTTAGTTGAAGATTAAAAATATATTTTGTTTCTATGGTTAAAAAATAAAAAAAAATTTTTTTTTGTTTTTAGGAAAAGATAATCTCTATGATTACTTGATTATTATTCATCATTCTGAAAAAGTTGTCTTCATCAATATACTTTGCTCTTTTTACATGTTCCTTAATTCTTATTTGTTTGTTTGTTTATCTACTTAGTTTCATTGAATGTGCCTCCATTGATTAATTATTTTATGATATTCACAATGATTCAATCAAAGTCAAATTTAAACCTAACTAATGTTGAATTCAATAGTTTCAATGATAATAATGGATCATTAAAGAATGAAAACTGACCCCAAAAAATATCGAATTTTTATTTTACATTGTTCATAAAAAAACTAAAAACTGTAGTTGTGATTTTAATGTATCTATAAATTTTAGTGCAATAAATATGTATATTTAGGACTGTTATATGAGTCGATTGTTAATGTTTATTATATATACATATATCTTAGTTTTATTTTCTAAATACTTATCTGTGGATATTATAGTAATTTTAATAGTTGAGATCATGAATCAATTGAAGCTAGAATCTCGCGAGGCGAGATCATGAATGCGCACTGCTGAGGAGTCTCACAATAAGACGAAACGGCCATTCAGTGCTTCTAGGTTTTCCATGGTGGTCTAGCTTCAATTGATTCATGATCTTAACTATACAAATTACTTATCTGTATTGTCAAGAAAACATATTTAATATTCGAAACCTTAATTCATAGTACATTCAAATACATCTCATATAAATATGTGTATACAATTCTAATTCTTCTTCTGTTTGCATTTAAAGTAAGAAACTTCACATGTGTATTAGTAATTCGAATAAAAATATGTTATTAATGTGTAAAGGTTAATATTCAATTGATAATGAAAATTTAGAAATTACAACTAGCTGTGAAGATTGAGACAATCGATGGTTATTTTGCAAATTATCTGTTCATTGTATGGTTATCAGAATTTAGTGAGATAGTCTGTAATTTGTAACTATATACATTGGATTGTCCCCAGTCGTGTTTTGTTCACTACAGCTGCAACATGGATAAAGAAAGTATTCATATATTTGGACATTGGGATTGTAAGACAATAAGAGTTTTGATCTTTGTTCAAAGTAGTACTTATTCCGATTTAAATGATAATTAATCACTATTGTAAATACTGTCCTGTCATACATATTCTGGATCTTTATAAATGAATTGTATAATAAAGGGAGTGTTATGCAATTCTTTACATATTTTACTAAGAATTCCTTATTCTAGTTGAGTATATACTAACTGAAGTTATTCTATATATTACTACTTTGAAATATTGCGTGATGGTTCTTTCTTTCAGTAATGAAATATTTGTTTAAATAAAATAACAAAGATAGATGCATTTGATTGTACACATTATTTTCCCAAAACTACTTCAACGGATTACAGGTTTTTCCATCGAATAGTCAACTTTATAAATCTACTTCCGAAAAAGACAATTTTGTAAACTTCGATTGTTTCATTACATTGGAAAACTGACACACATACAAGTATAATAAAAGGTTACTGTTAGAGGCACTTAACTTTCTATCATTGAACCAAAATTTTATGTAACTAAGGTCTGGTTATTTGACTATATTGACTAAATCATCATATTGTGACTACATTTTCAGAAAGTTACAGTGAAAACTCCAATCGAAAACAGAAAATTTTTTAGGATACTAATAAGTAAGTCAACGGGGATTGAAAACTTACCTAATCTTAAAGTAATTATTTAAAGCGCAAAATTTATAACATTTTGATGATTTATTGGCAAACCAGAAAGAAATCTTACAGACCAACAATTCATAAATTAGTTACATCAAGAAACGCAACAAATATCAAGGTAACTTAAAAATTGAAGTGGTTTTATATGAAATTAGCAGAATCAACTGTTCAGACTCCAAGTAAAATTATTATCAATGTTAATGTCATTATTTATGTCAAGACAGTTCTATTGTATGGGGCGGAGACGTGGAGAAATACGAAAGCCATTATCCAGAAGATACAAGTGTTCATCAACAGTTGTCTACGCAAGATACTTTGGATCCGGTGGCCAGACACTATCAGCAATAAGTTACTGTGGGAGACAACAAACCAGATTCCAGTGGAGGAAGAAATCAGGAGAAAGCGCTGGAAGTGGATTGGGCACACCTTGAGGAAATCAGCTAATTGTGTCACAAGACAAGCCCTCACATGGAATCCTGAAGGTCAAAGGAGAAGAGGAAGACCAAAGAACACATTACGCCGAGAAATAGAGACAGACATGAGGAGAATGAACAAGAACTGGATAGAACTAGAAAAGGAAGCCCAGGACAGAGTGGGTTGGAGAAAGCTGGTCGGCGGGTAACAGGCGTAAATAAGTAAGTAAAGTAATGTCATTATTTAACAATATGTGTTTGGTACCATATTGAATTTTCAGCGCAAAGTGTTCCAAAAAGTTCCTTTTACAAAACAACACAAAAATACGATGACTGCATATATATATATATATATATATATATATATATATATATACAATACGAACGTCAAGACAGTCCTACTGTATGGAGCTGAAACGTGGAGAACTACTACGGCCATCATCAGGAAGGTACAAGTATTTATAAACAGTTGTCTACACAAAATACTCAACATTCACTGGCCGGATACTATCAGCAACAGCGTTTTATGGGAGAGGACAAACCAGCTTCCAGCTGAAGAGGAAATTAGGAAAAGACGTTGGAAGTGGATTGGACATACATTAAGGAAATCACCAATGTGCATCACGACTCAATCCCTAACTTGGAATCCGGAAGGGAAGCGGAAAAGAGGAAGGCCAAAGAACATACTACGCCGGGAAATGGAAGCCGATATGAAATGGCTGAATAGTAACTGGAAAGAACTGGAAAGGAAGGCTCAGGACAGAGTTGGATGGAGAATGCTGGTGAGCGGCCTATGCTCCTCGACGAGGGGTAACAGGCGTAAGTAAGTAAGTAAGTATATATATATATATATATGTTAAGTTAATGAAATGTTTTTTAGTCAGTTTAAAATCTGCATAACTCTTAATTAAGAACATGTCTAATAATATAAGTTACTGAATAGGTCACCTCTAACAAACTGTTCGTTACTTAGCATTCTTCTAGATAAAGTATCGCAGAGCTCCGATATCATTGATTGGGTCCATGGATCCCAATGTATTGGCGTCTTGTTTTACAAGAAGTTATACAAGAAAAATAATATGAAGTGTAACTCTGTGAATTTGATTAAGGCACTTAATTATGAAAATCCACTATCTTCTTTTAATTAAAAGAGGATCGCAATAAAAGTATTACATTACACTATAATAGAAAGTTATGCGAAATCCTTGGTCTATGAAAATTAGATCGTCGCCTAAATGGTAATTTTTATTTCACATAACATGAATTCTTATGTGCCAGGACTCTGTAAACACCTAATTTATGATTTAATAGTGTCAATTAGGATTCAGGACCAAAAATAGTAACTGAATTGTGGTGTTTTTCTAATTTATTAATTAACGGTTATAGATTTATAAAAAGTAACCATTAATAGACTAATCTGCTGCTTAATGGATAAACTCCACCCTCATTTACAGTTTTGATCTCGCACCTGGAAACTAACCCAAACGAAGCGGAAATTACTTACTTACTTACTTACTTACGCCTGTTACTCCCAATGGAGCATAGGCCGCCGACCAGCTTTCTCCAACCCACTCTGTCCTGGGCTTCCTTTTCTAGTTCTATCCAGTTCTTGTTCATTCTCCTCATGTCTGTCTCTATTTCTCGGCGTAATGTGTTCTTTGGTCTTCCTCTTCTCCTTTGACCTTCAGGATTCCATGTGAGGGCTTGTCTTGTGACACAATTAGCTGATTTCCTCAAGGTGTGCCCAATCCACTTCCAGCGCTTTCTCCTGATTTCTTCCTCCACTGGAATCTGGTTTGTTGTCTCCCACAGTAACTTATTGCTGATAGTGTCTGGCCACCGGATCCAAAGTATCTTGCGTAGACAACTGTTGATGAACACTTGTATCTTCTGGATAATGGCTTTCGTATTTCTCCACGTCTCCGCCCCATACAATAGAACTGTCTTGACATTTGTATTGAAAATTCTAACCTTGGTGTTGGTTGACAATTGTTTTGAGCTCCAGATGTTTATCAGTTGTAAGTATGCTGCTCTTGCTTTGCCGATCCTCGCCCTCACATCTGCATCTGATCCACCGTGTTCATCAATGATGCTGCCCAGATATGTAAAGGTTTCCACATCCTCCAAAGCTTCTCCGTCAAGTGTAATTTGATTGGTGCATATTGTATTGTATCGGAGAGTCTTGCTTTTCTCTTTGTTTATATTGAAACCTACTGCTGCTGAGGCTGCTGCTACACTGGTCGTTTTCTCCTGCATTTGTTGTTGCGTTTGTGATAGAAGAGCCAGATCATCCGCAAAGTCTAAATCGTCAAGTTGCATCCTGCCTGTCCACTGTATCCCGTGCATTCCTCCAGATGTTGACGTCTTCATGATCCAGTCGATGACCAGGAGAAAGAGAAAGGGTGAGAGTAAGCAACCTTGCCTAACACCGGTCTTTACTTGAAACGAGTCGGTGAGTTGTCCTCCGTGGACAATTTGTCAGTTTAGTCCATCATAGGAGTTCCGTATGATATTGACTATTTTCTCAGGCACGCCGTAGTGTCGAAGAAGCCTCCATAGTGTCGTCCTGTCCACACTATCAAATGCCTTGTCGTAGTCGATGAAGTTGATGTAGAGTGATGAATTCCATTCGATTGATTGTTCCACAATGATCCGCAGAGTTGCGATTTGATCTGTGCACGATCTATCCTTACGAAATCCAGCTTGTTGATCTCGAAGTTCAGCATCTACGGAATCCTTCATCCTGTTTAACAATACTCGGTTGAAGACTTTTCCTGGTATTGAGAGGAGAGTGATGCCCCTTTAGTTTTCGCGCTTGCTAAGATCGCCTTTCTTTGGTATTTTGGTCAGAAGTCCTTTTTTCCAGTCTGTTGGTACTTGTTCTTCATCCCAAATCTTACTGAAGAGGATGTGGAGTATCTTGGTAGTTGCTGTTACATTTGGTTTCAGTGCCTCTGCCGGGATGTTGTCTGGTCCCGCTGATTTGCCGCTCTTGATTTGTCTAATGGCCATGCTGATCTGTTCAATTGTTGGTGGGCCAATATCGATTGGGAGGTCCGTGGGTGCTGCTTCGATGTTGGGTGGGTTCAGTGGGGCTGGTCGATTCAAGAGTTCTTTGAAGTGTTCTACCCACCTGTTTCGCTGTTCTTCAATGTTGGTGATTACTTTGCCTTCCTTGCTTTTCACTGGTCTTTCTGGTTTACGGTGATTTCCAGCAAGTTACTTTGTTGTATCATACAATTGTCTCATGTTTCCCTCTCTTGCAGCCTTTTCCGCTGTCGTTGCTAAATCTTCCACATATTTACGTTTGTCGATTCTGATGCTCCTCTTCACTTGCTTGTTTGCCTCTGTGTATTTGGCTTGTGCCTTGGCTTTTTCCGCTCTGGTTCGGCTGGTGTTGATTGCTGCTTTCTTCTTCCTCCTTGATTCAATCTTATCCAGTGTACCAACAGTGATCCATTCCTTGTGATGGTGCTTA